AGGTCCCATTTCGCTCTTTTTTTATCACAGTTCTGTGTATTGTCTTATTGTTCGTTTGCTTTTTTTTGTCGCTATGCAAAAATTCGGACAGGGAGCCTATCGTTTTTGTCTTTCTTCAGTCATTAGCTTTAAAGTTTACTGCATCACTATATGCTAGCTTCTCAATCAAATAAATCCATTTACAGGGACAACCGGGTGCCGATGGTGTTCCAGGACATCCTGGCCAACTTGGTCCGGTTGGACCACCGGGCGAAAGCGGAGAACCGGGACCAACGGGCAAAGACGGGCCTGTTGGGCCACCCGGAAGAGAGGGTTTGCGTGGAATTCCCGGTGCTCCTGGTGAACCCGGACCTCGTGGTCCAATCGGTCCCAAAGGTTTCTTAGGACCTCCTGGTAATCCAGGAGCACCTGGCAAGCAGGGTCCGCCAGGTCCGCAAGGAGAGCCCGGACAAACAGGTTAGTTTCAATGAATTTGTTTGTGTGGGTTTCACGCAAAAAACGCATTATAGAGCGACTATGACAGTTAGAGAAGGCGTATTTGTTTGCTGTTTGTGAGTATATTTAATGCAAGAACAAGGCAAGCTATAAAGCCAAAATTATGAATTTGGGACTATGTCCGGGCCGCATCTTACTAGCTCTGGAGTCCTTGATTGACCTCAGATTCAGTTTAAATTAATTTAATTTAGTATAGGGACCGAAATGAGGCACGAATCCTGAATCTTTTGAATTTAGTTTTTAACGGTTACTGTGTACCACCTTGAGACATTGACTTGGGCGCAGGTGTATCTCAATTTCCAGGTGGAGCAAATTTTGAGTGAATTACCAAAATCCTCTTTTACGATTCACTGCTTTTTTTACTTTGGATTTTCTCTCCAAATTTTCGCGAACTGTACAATACAAGTAGAGAAAGCAAGAAATCTGGATGTTTTTTTTTTTTTTTGCATTTTGCGCACTGCATAGATGATCCTAACGAAATTCATGTTAAATCGACCCACTGAACGCCCATTTTTTGCGGCGATATATATTCAGGTCGAAGTTAACACCGAAATTTAAGTTGGTAAGCTGATGCTCGCGTAAAAAAAGCTATAGAATATGCGTTTCCTATTGCTCAGTGCCTCCTAAAATTCGCTGCTTTGTTGCAGGGCAGCGCGGTTATCCAGGCGCTGTTGGTAGTTTCGGTTTGACAGGTTCACCTGGTGAAGATGCTGGCTACTGTGCGTGCCCACAACGGCGTACTTCTGATGCTGCCTCGAAAGCGAAACAATAAATGTCTACGAAGCAGTATCACATCGATGATTCGGAAAAAATTTCGAAAGCATTTCAAAAGAATATTTCCCAGAGAAGCAAGACAGAGCGTACTACTGACAAAAAAAAGTGGCAATATCTTTGAAATGTCGTTATATTTTTTCGAAAGCACCAACGCGATAACTATTTTTGGCGAGCTTTTTTTCTTTTCTTTGAAGTTTCCAGAGAAGAGATTTCGAAGCAAAACGAGCTGTAAAAATTCAAAAATTTTCAAGTTTAATTTACAGTGCATTACAGATTGAATAATTCAGAACCAGATTTTGAATCATAGTTTGCCGAAATCTGTAACATCTCAAATTTCAAGCGAAAAATGAAATCACAAACTGAGGAAAAAGCAAATTATAAATATGAAATAAAGATGATGAAATAAAATCAAACTTGCGCCTTCGGGCGCACATTCATTCGCAATCAACTTGCAACAGCCTATTGCCAAAACAAAAACACAAGCCACGCACAAAAATGATCCCCACGATAAACGCCGCTGCTTAATGACATTACCACAGGTTAGCTGTTGTTTGCCCATCGCCTTAGGGACACTAACCGGAGATATGCAGTCCAAGACCGAAGAACTTAGCGCAGCTGAGCCTAGCATATGGGAACATCCCAGTAAATTCGCTAATACGGGATATTCACACGGATCTCAGGGCGGTCTTCGCGTTTCCACTGTAGCTGATTAAATTTCTAGTTTTTATCGTCCTACTATTCAAAAGTAAACAAAAAAAACCCAGGCTAGAACGCACCAAGCTTAGCGGTACGATCATGCGTTTTTGCACTAATTTTGAACTAATTAGGTTAGCTGCATAAATGGTTGTTTCTTCCCCACCTACCTTGTGT